GACAGACTGACGCACGCACGGACAGATGGTCGGATGGACGCACAGACGGACAGACTCAGGAACTCACGGATGGTCGGGACATGTATCCTAACATGTATGATCTATGTACTAAATTTGAATGCAAACTGACAAAGCATGTGCAAAATAAAACATTTTCAAAAAACAAGATGACTGCCAGTCGGCCATCTTTGATCCAATTGTGAAATAAATCGTCATGGACATGTACCCTAACATGTATAATCTATGTACCAAGTTTGAATGAAAACTGACAAAGCATGTCCAAAATACAACATTTAAAAAAAAACAAGATGGCTGCCAGTCGGCCATTTTGAATCGGATCGCTAAACCACTGAATGTGCATATGTCCCACATAAAGTACTAGGCACATGCAAAGAATGAACGGAATCGGTCCAAGGGATTCTGAGATATGACTCCGCACGGACGCACAGATGGACGGAGACCGAATTATAAGTCCCCGTTTTCGGACTTCGTTCGAACGGGGACTAAAAATATGCACCAATAGAAGGAGTGGACATCTTGGCATTTTCACTACCTAGCGACCATTACGGTGGAAACACAGGCCGAAAACACTCAGAAAACGATAATTTGGGATAGTTGTTGAGACTCCCCTGAACAGTGTAACAAGATTACCTCTGTGTGTACAACATATATAAATTTGGTTGTTCACAATTACAAAGTTGACTGTGTACTGTTTTCTTGAATTTAGCTATTTTCACCAACTCTTCGACCGGTGTTCCACAGAGCCCATAGAAATACATGGTACAGTGGTGCGCGTCTTAGCAACGAGGAACATATTTTAGTGATTTAAATATTTTCAAAATATTTCAGTCATAAACCGAATTTTCTCTATTCTCAGGGGCAGAGCTTCGTCAGAGAATGTTCTATATTGCTAAGACGTGCACCACTGTACAATATATTCCTATGGGCTCTGCATGAGCTGATGTGGAACACCGATTGAGAAGCTGGTTAAAACAGCATAAACTAAACAATGAAACAATCCTGAACAACCAGATTTATATTTGTTGCACATATTGGGGTAGTCATGTTTAAAATACACTATTCAGGAGAGTCTCAACAACTAGCTCAAAATATCGTTTCCTGAAAGTTTTTTTTTTTTTTTTTTTTTTTTATTAGGTTGCCAGGTAGTGCCAGGTAGTCTACCCCTGAAAATCAGAATCATAGCTCAAATAGAAGTACATATTAACCAAACATTGCAAACTGGTGCTTTCAAATACAACTTCTTTTGACCAGTCAAGCACTAATAATAGAACAAATTTGGCATTCCACCAGTGTTTAGCTGACTTAATGTATAACTTAATTCTACTCCACAATATTCATAAGCCATGTACCCTCATTACAACAGGATTTCAAACATATAATAATAACATGTAATCTTTTGTGACATCATTCATCACTTTATTGAAAAGTACTGAAATTCTGATCAATGACATATCAGCCTTTAACTAAGCTTGCCTTTAACTAAGCTTAACTACTAGCATAGTGGGTATTATTAACACTCAAACTATTTCATACCCCCTCATTTGTGCCAACTAAAACGCATATTCTGATTATCTGCTCATAACCTGTGAGAAAGACACAGCATTACTGAAGCTAATCATGATTTTTTTTATAAAAGCAGCAGCAGCAGGCTGCTTCATAATTAAGCGATAAACCATGGTATACCGATGCCACATCAAACAGAGCTTTCAAAAGACATGGTTGATTGTGGCCTTGGAAGTGGGACATTGTCAGTACAGGCCTGGATGTATACTAATGGGAGAAGGTGATCGTTATCAACACAGTCGTTGAGTTTTACTGGGTGTCCCACAGCAGCACCATTCTGGAATTCTTGCGATATATGTGACATACGTTGTCCTTCTTCTTCTTTAGTGGGTGCTTCTTTCTTGTTCATCCTGTTGTATTTTTTTTTACAGATGATAAAAGCCAGCGTCACAAATATCAGAGACAGGAACTTAAGTCCCAAACTCAGCCCAAGGTAGACAAAGCGAAATCTCTCCAAGTCATATTCCCAACATGAACCTTCATCACCGCATACCGTCTCCCATAGCATGCAGGTGTTGTCAATTACTTTACCATAGTACATAGGCGCAGGAACATAAGCTGAAAAACACAAACATTGTCATTTATAAATTAATTCGAAACTCCATACAGGTATTCAGTTAACATGTTACACAGCTTTTTCTCATTCATCTCGGGTACCCATGGAGACTTTTATCAAGTGATGTGTTAATATTATACTTCATGTTCAAAATTATCATGCTCATCCAACATAATTAAATGTTAAATAAACAAGCACCCTGTCAGCTGAGATAGCTACGCTGTAAGCAATGCACATTACAATTAAAGAACTGAAGATATCATTAGAAAATGAACAATATGTATAGTATTAAAGCAATCAGACTTGCTGTTTTCAACAAGAATTCGAAAATATCTCTTTTCAACAAAAATGACAAAAATATTAAAATTAGAGAATAGAAGACATCATCATGAAATGAACAAAATTACAAAAATATTCACCAAAATATGAGAATTAAAGATATCCTCACAAAATGAACAAATCTGAGAGATGTACACATGTAGTACCAGGGTACCTATATATGTAATATCAAAGCAATCAGACTTGCGGTTTTTAACAAGTCGAAAATACCACTTTTTACCAAAAAATATTCATCAAAATTAGAGAATTGAAGATATCATCACAAAATGAAGAAATCTGAGAGAGGACCACATGTAGTACCTATATATGTAATATCAAAGCAATTGGACTTACAGTTTTTAACAAGAAGTCGAAAATATCACTTTTTACCAAAAATGACAAAAATATTTATCAAAATTAGACAGCGAGGCTAAAAAGTGCAGAAAAGTTTGGGGAGAGAAAGTCCGGTGGTGAAAAGGTTAATGTATTCAAGCCATAAGTCACACTGACAAAACAACTAAAGTAGAAGTGAAACTAAAGCTCAGCAAATCATGAGTGTAAACAAGTACAGAACCAATTTGACTGCTATACTTACATAATGCCTTTATCAGTACAAATTGCATTCCAAGAGCTAATGGCTTCTCAGGTTCCGCAACACACCTAATAATAATAATACAGAAACAATTATTTTCTAATGGTCTTCTAATTCTTATTTTATTAAGATATCTATATCGGTCGATTCTAAAACTAATTAAACCTGAAATAGATAAGCTCTTAGCGTTTAAAATTTTCAAAACACACGCACACAAAAATAGGTATTGTGGCATGTGAGAAAGATAATACATTCAGATCAATCTACTATGACAGAAAAATCATTATCTTTCACTTGCTTTTGGGTGTACCTTTTTAAACATAATTACTGTAAGGAGGGCTACAAACTTACAAAGACACTACAGGTACTGTAAAATGACTAATTTTCACTGGGTTTAAATTTTGCTAATTTACCATTTCAGGCATATTCAGTGGGTTTTATCATTTAGATAATATGTTCTATGCTAAATTTTAAATATTCACTGGGTTTTAATTTAGCGCATTTTCCAGTCAAAAAAATTAAAACCCAGTGAATAATTAACCCCTTTACAATAGTTATCAGCCTCTTTGTATGTTACCCTTAGTGTCTGAGTTGCTTTATTTTAAGGAAGTGAATACTGAGAATTTTGGGTGGTTTTTCTGCATCACAGATTGTGTGTTGTCACAGCTAATGTATTTTACAAAACTCCTTTTGAATAGAAATGTAATGGACCAATGACCTGTAGAAATGGCACCTGATTTATGTATGTATCTTAGTAAACTATATGTTGCATTCAACCAGAAATCATCTACTTATCTCACTTAGTAGAGTGACCATACATCCACACAGCTTGTCGATCTGGAAATTGTTGGTGCGAATCCAGCGTGTTGCTGCTCAAAAACAACCCATTTTTAAATAGCGAAGGGAAAGTTGCAACTCTCCACTTATGTGACAACAAAATTAGTCTGAAAAACGGTCCTTTCTCAGTAAACGGGCATTGTTGAGAACAAATAAACTACTAAACGGGACAAAGAAAGAGTACTTTCCAAGTAAATACTGAATGAGAACTGTCTAATATCATAGGTTAGTGGGACTGTTAGAACAATAGAGATGAGCAAAAAGGCTGTATTACTGGGTTTTAAATTAACTGATTTTCTAGTGAAACAATTTTAAGTTTTATACATGTTCACATGATTTTATTTCAACTATCAGCAAAAGTGTTTACAGTACTATTTCTATTCCAGTAGAGATTGCATTACAGTCACCTGAAATTTGATTTCACAATCTGCATCTGTCAGATGCTTAAGAATTAAAAATACTATACTGTGTTTGCTCTATTTATAGAAGCACAAGTCTAAGAAATGAAGTCAGACAGATACAGAACCGAAAACTAAGACCTGGTTGCAAGAACAAAATTGAAGCTCTTGTAAATTTTCAACATTTTCATTCATTTGTCACTATTTTGTCAAGAAATTCCAGCCATACATACCATATAAAAGTAATATTTCTAAACATTTTTAGCCACATTTATTTTTGTTTGACCATTTGTTAATAAATTTACCCTTTGTCGAATGGGGAGCTCTGCATTGCATCACCAATAGGTGCATCGCTTTTAATTTGTTTACTATAACTAAACGCTGCATATTTATTTGACCATTAAAAACAACTTATTTTGACCATAGACAAACAAAAAGAGTTGAGTTGTTTTTTTCACAACATTTTTCACATTTATATTAATTTTTTCTATAATTTCTTTATTAATTTTGGATAAAATGAACATAATTTCTTATTCAAAAGTTTTCTTTGGTGCACAAAGGGTTAATTCTCACCTTAATGTTGTCATGATAATTGGTATCTGTGTAATAGCTGTAATAACTACCACAGATATCAAAACTGCCATAAACAATCCCAGTCCAGTGCTACAATCACGTTCACATCTACCATAAGTAGCATAGTTCGTTAAGGAATAATCCGATGGTGTAACTTCATTTACAAAGTATTCCGATATGCAAGCACAGTTGGTGAAGTTCTGAAAGTTGAATAAAAATTATAATTATTCATACTCTAATGGAAAATGTTAACATTTATATTTTTACATAAATTTAAAATGTAAACTGAGAACAGACTTCTCAGAGTAAAGTGAATCAAGTGAGTATTGGTCACCAAATCTGGGAGGAGAATAATGTACTGGAGGGGAGGGGATGTTACTCAACTGCTAGGTCTGAAGTCTAAATACTCGCAAGGTGTTCCATAAAATGTATTAATATCATTATGCTAATAACTAAACTGAATGTCATAGCCTCAAATCATCACAGTAAACATACAACTTCACATTGCGACAGCCTGTAGTGGAAAATTAAATTATGTACACTTTGCAGATGATACGCAATTACTAAATGTTTATTCAACATAAACACACAATTTTATTGAGTGACTGAAATGTCTCCTTCTCCAAACAAAGAAATGATGTTTTGTTTGCATGACTATTTATCATTTATTTCCCTGGAAAATAAGCGAATACCCTGTATGATCAAATATCAAAACAGTGAAATTAAATACCAGTTAAAATAAATGCTTTTACAGTAACCAAGTCATCATTATGACGATGCTATAAAAGCAAAATCAGTATATTAGTGAACAAAAAAAGACAGACATGCTCAACAAGAAGTGACAGAGATTATTCTATTACTGTCATTTTTTTATAATTTGCAATAATAACTGACATTCACAATGCTACAGACTTAATACTCACATAGTATTCAGAATATTTGATTCATACACAATGTGCATTTGGTTTTTGTTCCAGCTTTGTGCTCTCTAAGCATCTAGTTGCACTAATCTCAAAAAACATCTTATTATTATAATATTTATATAATTTGTAGTTAGGTAAAATTTACATTTTCTAAAATGAAATAAGTCTAAAACATAAAATCAGGGTGCACAACATTTCACCTATACAGTTAGATACAATTTTTTTTTTCTAAACGACTGACCTTCACCACAATCAACAAGCTGACCGAACTTGATTTTTGGGGATTCAATTTTGAATCATGATCCCTACAATATTACTGAGTAGTCTTGTTAGAGGACACACTGCATGTGTTCAACCATGTCTGGTTGATACCAGGAAACAACAGTAAATTACTATAGTGTCATTATAATAGAATACAGCCCTGTCATGTTGTCCCTACATGGACTATGGTTTCCATGGCAACACGTGTCTATATGTATAATATCAGTAGGAATTGAATTGCTGACATTTGATATGACACTGGGGTATCAAATGTGAAAATTTAAAGACGGCTAAAAGCAGACAATGAGCACTTAGTAGCAATGCAAAGCTTGAGGCAACCATAGTGAAAGATGATGTGTAGCCATGGCAACAGAGTACATGTAGGAAGAGCATGTAAAATGTAAACTGAGAAAAATGATATGATAGAACTGAGTACAAGAAGATTTTAGTATCACAGACGCCATGGTGATAGAGAATGTAGATGTCACACAATCCCATGATGCCATGGTGATAGAAAATCTAGATATCACAACATCCCATGATACCATGGTGATAGAAAATCTAGATATCACACAATCCCATGATGCCATGGTGATAGAAAATCTAGATATCACACAATCCCATGATACCATGGTAATAGAAAATCTAGATGTCACACAATCTCATGATGCCATGGTGATAGAAAATCTTAATATAACACAATCCCATGATGCCATGGTGATAGAAAATCTAGATATCACACAATCCAATGATGCCATGGTGATAGAAAATCTTAATATCACACAATCCCATGATGCCATGTGATAGAAAATCTAAATATCACACAATCCCATGATGCCATGATGATAGAAAATCTAGATATCACACAATCTCATGATGCCATGCTGATAGAAAATCTAGATATCACACAATCCCATGATGCCATGGTGATAGAAAATCTAGATATCACACAATCCCATGATGCCATGGTGATAGAAAATCTAGATGTCACACAATCCCATGATGCCATGGTGATAGAAAATCTAGATGTCACACAATCCCATGATGCCATGTGATAGAAAATCTAGATATCACACCATCCCATGATGCCATGGTGATAGTAAATCTAGATATAACACCATCCCATGATGCCATGGTGATAGAAAATCTAGATATCACACAATCCCATGATGCCATGGTGATAGAAAATCTAGATATCACACAATCCCATGATGCCATGTGATAGAAAATCTAAATATCACACAATCCCATGATGCCATAATGATAGAAAATTTAGATATCACACAATCTCATGATGCCATGTGATAGAAAATCTAGATATCACACAATCCCATGATGCCATGTGATAAAAAATCTAAATATCACACAATCCCATGATGCCATGATGATAGAAAATCTAGATATCACACAATCCCATGAAGCCATGGTGATAGAAAATCTAGATATCACACCATCCCATGATGCCATGGTGATAGAAAATCTAGATATCACACCATCCCATGATGATAGAAAATCTAGATATCACACAATCCAATGATGCCATGGTGATAGAAAATCTAGATATCACACAATCCCATGATGCGATGGTGATAGAAAATCTAGATATCACACAATCCCATGGTGATAAAAAATCTAGATATCACACAATCCCATGATGCCATGGTGATAGAAAATCTAGATATCACAACATCCCATGATACCATGGTGATAGAAAATCTAGATATCACACAATCCCATGATGCCATGGTGATAGAAAATCTAGATATCACAACATCCCATGATACCATGGTGATAGAAAATCTAGATATCACACCATCCCATGATGCCATGGTGATAGAAAATCTAGATATCACACAATCCAATGATGCCATGGTGATAGAAAATCTAGATATCACACAATCCCATGATACCATGGTAATAGAAAATCTAGATGTCACACAATCTCATGATGCCATGGTGATAGAAAATCTTAATATCACACAATCCCATGATGCCATGGTGATAGAAAATCTAGATATCACACAATCCCATGATGCCATGGTGATAGAAAATCTTAATATCACACAATCCCATGATGCCATGTGATAGAAAATCTAAATATCACACAATCCCATGATGCCATGATGATAGAAAATCTAGATATCACACAATCTCATGATGCCATGGTGATGGAAAATCTAGATATCACAACATCCCATGATGCCATGGTGATAATAAATCTAGATATAACACCATCCCATGATGCCATGGTGATAGAAAATCTAGATGTCACACAATCTCATGATGCCATGGTGATGGAAAATCTAGATATCACACCATCCCATGATGCCATGGTGATAGAAAATCTAGATATCACACAATCCAATGATGCCATGGTGATAGAAAATCTAGATATCACACAATCCCATGATACCATGGTAATAGAAAATCTAGATGTCACACAATCTCATGATGCCATGGTGATAGAAAATCTTAATATCACACAATCCCATGATGCCATGGTGATAGAAAATCTAGATATCACACAATCCCATGATGCCATGGTGATAGAAAATCTAGATGTCACACAATCTCATGATGCCATGGTGATAGAAAATCTAGATATCACACAATCCCATGATGCCATGGTGATAGAAAATCTTAATATCACACAATCCCATGATGCCATGTGATAGAAAATCTAAATATCACACAATCCCATGATGCCATGATGATAGAAAATCTAGATATCACACAATCTCATGATGCCATGGTGATAGAAAATCTAGATATCACACCATCCCATGATGCCATGGTGATAATAAATCTAGATATAACACCATCCCATGATGCCATGGTGATAGAAAATCTAGATATCACACAATCCCATGATGCCATGGTGATAGAAAATCTAGATGTCACACAATCCCATGATGCCATGTGATAGAAAATCTAGATATCACACCATCCCATGATGCCATGGTGATAGAAAATCTAGATATCACACAATCCCATGATGCCATGTGATAGAAAATCTAAATATCACACAATCCCATGATGCCATAATGATAGAAAATTTAGATATCACACAATCTCATGATGCCATGTGATAGAAAATCTAGATATCACACAATCCCATGATGCCATGTGATAGAAAATCTAAATATCACACAATCCCATGATGCCATGATGATAGAAAATCTAGATATCACACAATCCCATGAAGCCATGGTGATAGAAAATCTAGATATCACACCATCCCATGATGCCATGGTGATAGAAAATCTAGATATCACACCATCCCATGATGATAGAAAATCAAGATATCACACAATCCCATGATGCTATGGTGATAGAAAATCTAGATATCACACCATCCCATGAATCAAGATATCATACTGCAATATAGGGGCAATATACTAAGGGAGTGATAGAAGGTGATATACTAAGATATAAGGTGACACACTAAGATAGAGGGAGATAAACTAAGCTAGAGAAAGATAAACTAACAGATGGCGATATACTAAGCTAGAGGGAGATTTACTGTAAGATAGAATGCGATATACTAAGATAGAGGGAGATAAACTAAGCTAGAGAAAGATAAACTAACAGAGGGCGATATACTAAGCTAGAGGGAGATTTACTGTAAGATAGAATGCGATATACTAAGATAGAGGGAGATAAACTAAGCTAGAGAAAGATATACTGACAGAGGCGATATACTAAGCTAGAGGAAGATATACTAAGCTAGAAAGAGATATACTAAGTTAAAGGGAGATATACTAAGATAGAGGGAAATATACTAGAAGATATAAGGTGATATACTAAGACAGAGGGGGATTAACTAAGCTAGAGAGAAATATACTAAGATAGAGGGAGATATACTATAAGATATAAGGCGATATACTAAGACAGAGGGAGATAAACTAAGCTAGAGAGAGATAAACTAAGATAGAGGGAAATATACTTAGCTAGAGAGAGATATACTAGAACAGAGGGAGATATACTAAGATATAATAAGGTGATACACTAAGCTAGAGGGAGATATACTAAGATAGAAGGAGATATACTAAGATAGAGAGCGATATACTAAGTTAGAGGGAGATATATTAAGATACAAGGCAATATACTAAGCTAGAGGGAGATATACTAACCATTATTAAGCCTCCATCTTCACCGACCCCAATGACTGTTTGTTCGCATCCAGCGTGGCAAGGACTAAAGTATGTAATTCCATTGATACCACAGACTGGTTGATATGCATCAGATGTGCACCCGCACTGGAAGTTACAACCAGAAGTCACGTTGTAGAATTCTGGTGCCTCCTGAATTTCAAATATGCTACAGAAAAAGAAGAACACAGTGTTTAACTTCAAATCTTTGAATATTAGAGATTCTCAATATCTCTCCCATATTTTTTCCTCCTGATTTTTAACATTTTGCATTTTTTGTATATAATTTAAGTATAATTTCTTAATTATGGACCAACTGAAGTTAATTTCCTTTTGCTACAAGTTTTGATCAAAATGTTGACAAAAATATTGAAAAAAAAGTTTCTTGCTCAAAGGGTTCAAGATTCCATAAATTTCATTTGGCAGCATGACTTTCATACTTCAGGAGTCAACAAATTTAGTGCACCACAGTACTTTATGTTCATGTATCTAGCAGAAGGAGTTTTTTTTTAAATAGTACAGGTATGAAATTTGCTCCATACCATTTCCTGAAGCTGATTTAAAACGAATGCACAAGAGTTTTTTTTAAGCATAGGGCAAATTACTGTAACTGTTGTATCTTTACAAATAGTTCTATACTCCCTTTTATTTATTTTTTCAGAATATAGTTCCAGACACATTGTTGCATTATCTCAAGTTCAAAAACATCACAAAGAATTTGAATGGATCATGTGTAACTTTTTCCACATGGAGTCCCAATGTAATCCCCACATACAGTAATATCATGTTTATTTTAAAAAATAGGTTTGTACCCCTAATGATCTTTCATCGCAAAGTATAAACAAATTCCAAAGACTTTTGTGAAACAGTATTGGACAACCATAAAATGACCATAATACAAGTATACAAAATTCAAAAGTTGTTTTCCTGTCAACTCAACTTCCATTAACTGAAAAAAGCACAACTTTTACAATGCCCTAATACTATGAGTTGTTCATCATCTGATGCAAAAGTTTTCTGTGTCAATTAATCAAATTTGTATACACATGCACAGCTACATAATTTTTACTGAAAATTAAAAAGGGACAAACAAATCATATAAATGATTATAACAAAGATTTCTAAGATGAGAGTAAGTGTGTAATATGTGATAAAAATTACAGGAAAATTGCGATATGATCAAAAAATTACATAACTTCAAGAAACATACATTTCTTTGAAATCCAAATGCAAATTAGTGAGTCTGTTAAAGAACTGGTTGGTGTTCATCCCCAGACTATTTTTGGTAGTGTCTTTGCTTATTCACAAAACAGGAAATATTAAGTGCGTTTTAAGTTTTTTAATGTCGTTATAATCTTGTTCACTTATGTTCACTTCTTGTGAGATCTTCATCGCATATCACCTTACATATCTTACAAATCCTAGTTATTATGACATAATGTTTTTCAAAAAACAAGCATGTGTCATACTAGGACCTAACTGGGACCTAACCTAAAGGAATATACATGTATAGTAGACTAATTAACATGATACAAAAATAATACATAATTCACAAGTTTCATATGAATGGTTCTAGTATGATAACACTTGGCTACAAAACAAAATGCAATGAACCAACAAAATAGATTGCCATTATAAATCAAAAACGTGATAACGAACAATGTAGAGTTTGGGAAATTTGAATCTTCCAAAACTGCTTTCTACATTGTGCACCACGTAAGTGGCTCTAATTTTGACATGATGTAGCAGTGAGTATTTTGCACATAACAGGGAGTTAGTTGCACTGAATTTTAATGTTACATATCTGATATACACAGAAGAAATAGTTAGAAAACTTACTTGGCTTCATATCCAACAGATACACCAGCCAAACTGAGAGTATTGCAATGTAGCGGGAAGAACGCAGAATAACACAGGAATGATATAAAAATACAAATCATTGACAAACGAGCTGTGCCTAATGTGTTCATATTGAATTTTCTTACAAGGAAACCACCAAACACTGTTCCACCTGCTGCACCTGGGATCAATGTACCTGAATAAATAAGAAATTGAATTATTATACATCTGGCGGCTAGAACAATAGAATTAATCACTGCAAAATTCAGATGTGCTCAAATGTGTTCAGAATGTCTGCTTTATTTGGTTTGTATGAGATGTTCTACTGTTCCCAGCAAAGTAGTTTTGGCTGAAGTGATTTGGCCAGAGTATAAGGGTGAATAAACATTATAATCAAACATATTCCTTTGTTTATATCGGACACAGTATCAATGCAGTTTGAGACGGAAATAGAATCCTGTCACTGAATCATGTAGGCATTGAATACATGAAAATGTATGCCATGGATCTCAGAAAATGTCATATCTCACTAAATTACGACTGTAATCAGGAAAAATGTACAATAATAAGATGTGCTATTGGATACATTGTATTGTGTAGTGCCTTTTTTGCAGATATTGTGGTATCCTTGTATAACCACTTGCTATTTTAATTAAAATTTGAGAATTGATAAATATATAACAACAGAATCACTTACAATTTTTATTCATGGTCATGTATGTTAGAAATAGAGAGCAGCTTGTCATAGGCATGATACAAAGTAAAGTTTTGTAGTATAATGTAGGTTATAATTAGATTTTATGGATGAGATAAAGCCATTATAGCTGTTAAAAGCTGTTTTAGCAAATTTACTGTTACAGGTCAAGACAATGACACAGGCTTTAACTACATTTCTAAACTGTACAAGATTTTTAGTGTCCTATTTCACAGAAATCAATATGCCATATGATCAAAAACAGTTTTTTATTTTTACAACAATGGCTGACACATGTAGTATGGTAGTTTCCAACGTCATAACAAAGAAATATACCAGATTAACGCTTTTTTATTAATTCTTTTGAGCTAATTGTCACAAGTACACAACAAATTTCTAATTCATAAGAAATAAGAAAGATTCAGAGATACTGCAGCAAAGTGTATCAGGGATTTTTTTTTAAACAAGGGAACAGGAGCGCAGCGCCCTCGTGCCATGGCCATGCGCCCCCTTACCCTGGGAAGCAGATCCTCTAGCATCCATAAAATTCTGGTTGACCAGGGATCACATGTGACCTGTCTGATAGTAATTTTGGCCCCAAGGAAGTCTTAGAATGCTCCATTGTAACTTGGAATTATCAAAAACTCAACACCCTGGTAGCGGGAACCCTATCTCCCCCACTGGGTGGCGGCACTGAATTGCAGTGCTCTGTCTTGCAGTTCTTTTCCAGAAAAACCCCTGTGTATCCAGCTTGCAACAATTATTGTAATCATAAAGACAAATATTTACTTGTACTTGTGTCCTGACAATGCACACAGTACATCACAGTACTGACGCATCAATATAACAATCAATATAATATTTCATTAATTCTGTTATTTTAAAATGTCATATCAAAATGATGGCCTAATAGAAACATATTTGCTGTTTTTACTTTTGAAAGTCAGTGTTGTGTCAATAAATAAATTTTAAAATAAATAGATTCAACAATAATATCCAGGGAATATTGGAATATAACATAGAAAGTGCATCCATTTGAACCCTGTATTTTTTAACATATCACCCACTAAAAACCTCAAGAATAGTAAAAACACTGCATCAGCAGGGATTGTTTTGTTAGCAAGGCTAGGACAATCTGTGACATTGTCGTGGAGTGCAAAAGGAGCCTCAATATCGAATTCCTAGAAGACTGTCTGCACCGAAACTGGGACATGGAGATAATGGCAAATGACTTACCTGTAAGCAAGCTTGCCGACGATGGTGATAATGAATACTGTGTTTCAATAAACTTTGGCATAAAAGTGATAAACCCTGTGGCAATAGCAACTTCCATTGCTCCAGCCATTGTTATACAAATGTAAACTGGGTTGAGGAAAAGACTAAGAACAGCCCTGGGTAAATCTACAGGAAAATAATAACAAGGTAAAGGTAAAATATAAAACTTTAAAGCCATTTTTAATATTCAGAAAGGAAGGGGTGTGTACTTTAAACGATATAGCAACTACATGTTATATAGGCACTGAACATTTTTAGGTAAATTTTAAAATTTAAGTGCTAAATACATGTCGATTTTTAGCATAGTAATCAGTTAAAATAAACATTGACAATTGTGTACTGTACTACTCATTGCCACTGGATTATTATTATTTTAGACTGGTAATATAAGCTTAAAATTTAGGTTGGAGAATTATAGTTATTTGTTTACAGAGGGATTACTGCAGTTGGGTGGATTCATCAGAACTAGAAAAAGTTATGTTGATGTTAGTTGTACATGATTATTGATGAGAATCTCATAATCTTGCATTCACACGGTCACTGAATAATTCACATAATGACGCTGAACCCTAGATAGGCAATGTTTAGACTGGCCATATATTTCTGTCTTTTGTGTAACTTTTCAATTGGGCAATAATTAGTTGACATTTTAAAGTTTACTACCAAGGGCATGATTTCTGCTCTTGTCGAGCATTCAGACACCACAATCTTGGCACATACTGGGTTGGATAAAGCTCTTTATTGGAACGGAAATCATAATTTATTCAGCATGTGCTGACTCAGTCCCAACACACGGCATATGCCAAGACTTCTAATGTGCAAGCAGCTAGTGGATACATACATGTATGGTGTGTGAATTTGTTTTCGGAATATGTGAGATTGGCTTTTTTTCCCTAAAACAAGAAGCTTTAAAACAGCATTGATTGATTCTTTGGTATGTTACTAATGTGAATTTTGTTGTTTTCTGATTTAGTCGATTCAAAATAAATAACAAGCAGTCATTCTTATCATATAAATCGGTAACACGTGTATCGATAATAAGGGTACATTTACTCCCTCAGAATAAAGTCATTCCATGTCTACGTAAAGTCATATTTTAATGATCCAGAACAATGAATGTAATTATTTGTTTATGTGCTCTTCTATCAAACATTAAGCTTTTAATAAAGTAAACTGTATCACAGGGTTGATATCAAACATATTGTGTTACAAGTACATATTTCCTTTTTTTGTGATCAATGTATGGCCGACAGACTGCCATTTTTTTTGTACAATGCTCTTTGGGATACAACGACTTGAACAAAACTGGCAGGTAATTAGAAATCATATCCATTTAATCTAAAACTTAAACAACAGATTTAAAAAATAAATTGTACAAATTTTTGCAAGAAAAACCATGGGCGTTCACTTACCACTGAACTTTCCACTCGTAAATTTCATCTGAGTGTCACCACTTTCTTCATTGTTCGTGTTTATTGTTTGCTCTTCTTCAGTCTCAATTTTTTTAAGTTTTTTAGGAAATCCAAACAAAGGAATTGAGGTGGCAGCAATGGCAATGCCTATGAATACATAGCCAGCCCACCACGCACCAACCCAACGTGCATCAGAAGGATCAACAGGGATGTCTTCTTGTTTTATAGAGCCAAAATCCACATACAAGGTAAGTGCAGCCGCTCCAAATACAAAGCCAAGAGCAGGACCAATAGCACCCATGCAGTATAAAATACCTACAAGATACAAACATTGAAAACCTATCATTTACATTTACATGTACATGTACCAAGATTTACATGCAGATTTTATATAAATCACCTCAGAGATAATAAAATTCCAACTAGGAACCTATATTGATAAGATTCATTTATAAGTTGGTGCAAAGGAAATATGTTCATTCAAGTTTCTCCAGAATCTATGTCAACATATTCCATTGAACACATACATGTACTTCTTGTACATTTCATGAAATACAGTGATGTCTGCAGTTGGAGAAACGAGTTTTTCCACCATCAGCAAATTACAAATAAAGAGGACGAAAAAAAGGGACAATGTTTTAATTAACTTTAATACATGACTAAAAGTTGTGCATTTTATAAATATTATAAAAATTATAAATTCAAAATGTTTGTAATTCCAAATGATAAATCCATCAATGGTGTTATGACATCATATAGTGAGTTTAATGGAATCCAATCAGCAAGTGTACATGTGGCTGTGTACGAATAGTGTTAATGGGTTCAAGAATTATATTTGGATGGAGGTCATAAGAACTCATTATGGATATAATCAATGTTAAGCACTTTGGCCAATAAAAATGATATTTGTACATTGTGCATATTTGAAATTGAATGACAGCTGTCTGAATTTATAAATTGTTATAAATGTATGTTATTAAAGCGCGGTGGTCGTCGCGCAGCGCGTGTTCGAATTTCATGTAAATAAACAATGTATTTTACACACGTTGTATACGTTGCTATGAGTCCCATATCGAAGAGGACGCGGCACGACGACTGCCGCCCTTTAACTGAGGCAAATTTAAAGTTACCTTCTATCGGTTCAACATCATCATATACACTGTTCATACGAAATGAAAGCAGCTAAAAACTGAATATGTGATAGTTCTCACATTCTTAGTAAATTAGATTACACAATGATGAAGCACGTTTATGAATAGAAAATAAAATTAAGTTACCACAGTCCTATTAGTAATTAAAATGTTAGCTTTACAGGCAGTAGTTTCCAAGTACATTGTATATGTAATTAGAATGTCAAAACCTGTTGTTTTCATATGATAAAATAAATTGGTATGCTACAACTAATATTATCACCAATATTATATTTTATGTGACAAAACAATTCAACACCATTAATTACAATTATGTTAAAATGCCTGTATTCAAGTGTTTCATAGGATAGTGTGAGATATTATTGATATCTTGTAGATATTCTGGATACATGTAAGAACGTAGAGTTTGCCATTCCAAAAAAGGCATGTTACCACTAAGGCAAATGTTAAAATTTTAATCTTTTATATGGGGAAAACTACATCATTAATAATAATTATTAATCTATGTAAACATAGATGCGTTACGGCTATTTCACGCCATATTCGAACGTTTCCCTTTGTTTACATTGGATGTAGAAGCATACTAGGGAAATAGAATCAGGTTACTGAATATAAACGTTCGCACAGCACAACATGTTTTTGGTTGCCATTTTGGGGTATAATCTCTCATTAAATTATTACTATAAGCAGGAAAAAGATGTATAATAATAAGATTATCAAGAGAATATTTATGACTAAATATGCACTCAGGCAGAAATGGGTCACATTGACCTCCGCCACGTGTCTGTTGATACAATCGCCTTCCGCCTTCATGCATACTTCGCGATATTCTTGTGATAATCACATATTATTGTTATTGATATATATACTTCATTATTAGAACATTTCGTGGATGCAAACCATAATATATATTATTAAACATCTGTCACTGTAACGCGACAAGTTACAGTGTGCCATAATTTTGTGGTATTTTACAGGGTATTTTCATCCTAACATATTAGGAAATGCGAATTCCAAATATGGAATAATAAAAACAAACATGGCTGCCACCAGAGTGCACATACACTTGTAAGAGAAAATATGGGAATTGAACTATTTGAACTTGTATATATTACACAACATTTGAAATGATGTACTGTTCCTGAAAATTTTCTATGACCACAAGAAATTGAAAATACTGTTATTCAGTCTCAAAAACACCTACTGTAAAATACTTTATTTTAGCTGGAATTAATTTTCGCTTAAAAGACTTTTTGGGTGTTTTGTATAGAATTTATTTTTACTGATTTCTGACCAGTTGAATGTAAAATATAAGAAAAAGGTATATTCACTCGATTTTATTTTCATTGAAAAGCCTCAACTAAAAAGCACTCAGAGAAATATGTGTGATTTAATTTAAACAAATATTTTTCTTGTTTTTCTGGATTCACAGTCTACTAGACAGAATAATTACTACAAACATTCAGACTTTTTTACCATACACATGGAGAATATAGTGAACTATACACAGCTATCTAGAGGAGATTGTACTGTGCATCAAATCATCCTATAATCATCATCAGTAAAAAAGAGTGATTATATTGCCTGAATCACGTGTACATGCTGCTGACACCAACCTACATGTAGCAGAAAATATATTTCTCACATGTATATTTCCAGTCTGAAAAAGTGAAACCACTGACAGTTAAAAGTGATATTATATATATATTAGTATTATACATCTGTCACTGTAACCCCATAAGTTACAGCGTGCCATTATTTTGTGGTATTGCACTTGGTATTTCAATCCTAATTCATTAGATTTTTTTCAAAAAATTCAACTACAAATAAAATAATAAGCTATCACAATTAAAATAAATTTGGCAAAATGTGCTTTTCAATCTGTCCTGTATCCTGTAACACTGTGTAGAAATGCATGTCATGTATGCAATGAAAACTAAAAACATTACATTTCTTGTACACTTGATCATTAAAATATGACCACACACAGACCTGTTATTTGAGTTTATACATTATTACCAAGTAATACTATTATTGTATAAACTGTGCCAACTTACATGTACATGTAACTATCTGGGGGAAATGTCATTAAAAATCTATAATATATTTTATATAAACATTGATGAAACCAACTAAGACTAGAGGCATCTAGGCATTGGAGTTTGTCGTCTCAATAAATTTTCATCTCTGAAAAACATAATCCTAGTAATTAAATAAAACCAACTGGGACGTTCTGGGAGACACTTCATTACACTGTACAGTACAGTATCACCAACTGAGGTGATATACATAACTTTAATAATCAGGGGAATACTGTTATGGGAGGTATTAAACTGAAGGTAACAAGTATATATTGCGAGCACAACTGGAAGTTTTTAATCAACAATTCAGCACCATACTACATGTAGAAAATAGTAGAAGCTACATGTACATGTTGCACTGCTGTTAGGCTAGTGCACTTTAAATACAAGACAAACTTAGCGTGACATATACTAGTATACAAATTAACTTTTTCACCACCAGATTTTTCTGCATTTTGTTTCTTATATTCTTGAATATTTCTAGGAATGTACCTTAATTTTGAAGCCAACAGACAAAATTTGTGTAAATTTTTAGTTTCTATTCAAACAAGCAGCCTGTCGGCTGAGATAGCTCCGCTGTTAGCAATGCACATGGCAATTAAAGAACAGAAGATATCATTAGAAAATGAACAAATCTGAGAGAGGTCCACATGTAGTACCTATATGTATAATATATCAAAGCAATTGGACTTGCGGTTTTCAACAAGAAGTCGAAAATATCACTTTTTACCAAAAATTACAAAAATATTCATCAAAATTAGAAAATTAAAGATATCATCATGAAATGAACAAATCTGAGAGAGGTCCACATGTAGTTAGTACCTATATATGTAATATCAAAGCAATTGGACTTGAGGTTTTTAACAAGTCGAAAATATCACTTTTTACCAAAAATGACAAAAATATTCACCAAAATTAGAAAATTAAAGATATCATTACAAAATGAACAAATCTGAGAGAGGTCCACATGTAGTACCTATATATGTAATATCAAAGCAATTGGACTTGCAGTTTTTAACAAGAAGTTGAAAATATCACTTTTTACCAAAAATGACAAAAATATCCACCAAAATTAGAGAATTGAAGATATCATTACGAAATGAACAAATCTGAGAGAGGTCCACATGTAGTACCTATATATATAATATCAAAGCAATTGGACTTGCGGTTTTTAACAAGAAGTTGAAAATATCATTTTTTACCAAAAATTACAAAAATATTCACCAAAATTAGAGAATTGAAGATATCATCATGAAATGAACAAATCTGAGAGAGGCCCTACCCAAGGTACATATACACCAAGTATCAAAGCATTCAGCTTGTAGTTTTCAAGAAGAAGTCGAAAAAGTAAAACATTGACACGGACGACGACGACGGACAATCACTCACAAGCCGGTAGGCTGGTTGGCGATCCGCTCCGCTTAAAAACAAGCAATATGTTTTTGGCTGTTTCCATGGTGTGACATAAACGTGAAGCTAATGTCGGTTTATAACTAATACGAAGTTCGCAAACCCCATTCAGTCTTTAGAAGTCACTTAGTTTACTACTAGGACCACAGTTACTCCTGTGCTAGGACGTATTCTGCTGTTACATTTATTATTTCCAACCGTTTTGCGATAGCATTTTCTAGAATGAAGCGTTTTCTGTAAATACTAGAAGCGAAATAATGAAATAACGAAATGGTAAATATTTACCCAAAGTACAGTGTGTTGATCTTCATAATAATATACGTCATAATGCAAAACACTAGTCACGGATCGTATATTTAAATATACGACTCCACAGTCCAGAATTTCAGACGGATATTAAGCAACCTAAGAGCATATCAGAAGCATTTACTCTAAAATATAAAAAAGAACTGCAGTCAAAAGTCAAGAATGCCAGCAAATGAAGGACTCTGTCCCACAATCCTTTGTGCGCGTTATTACGGACACGCGCAAAAAACTGTACCACGCTTGTCAAATCTGGGTCAAATATACAGTACGCTACTATCTTGCCAGATTGTTTAGTAGTGGAGTGTTTGGTGACCATTGAATTAGCCTGTGATTCATATTTTATGTGTATTAATTTATTCATCAATTT